TATATATATATATTTAGCGGCAATAGGTTTACGGAACAGAAAAATACCAGTTTTACGAGTGCATCAGTAGCAAAATTAAGGAAATCAAATGCTGAAGAAGTAATTACAGATAATAGTTACGACTACTGTGTTTTGAAGTTTTTCACGGTCTCTACAGCAATTGCTTCTTTTATTTCGTATACTACATACAACAACGAGATTATATTTACAAGAACGGCTCAACGCGGACTCGGGTTCTAAGTTGCACTACGATGCAGTTGCAATAGTCTACGCTAAATTCCATCATGCCCATTCATTGACAAATTCTTCGAAGTTTTTCATCAGAAGAGTTATTGATTCGATGCTTGGGTTCAGAAACTCAAAAGAATAATGAGTCTCTAAACTCGCTGATATGGACTTTTGCTCCAAAGCGTATCCATTCAGGGTCTCAGATCATTGAATTTGCTACATTTATTGCTGTGTATTTTAATGAAGGATTTATACCAATATTGAAGATTATGACGATTATGAGAGTGAAAATTGGTCCAGAATAGCATGCATTTGCTATCAGACGAGACAACGCCCTGATTGACCGCTCCGAGATACGAGCATCCAGCGCATCAAAGGAGGCCAGAACTGCTCGAATAAAAAACGGAGACGCCGAAAATAGTTTTTTTCGAAGTCGAGGAAGGTCTGATGTATTCAGCAGGAATGGCAGATTGAATAAATGTAAGTTAAAAATATAACTTTATGACTTAAACTGCAAAAAATAACTTGAAACTTAAAACGCATTTTTCCCAAAACTGTTTTTTGTGAATCTGATACCCACGATTTCTCAGATTCTGCTAACCGATTAACTTGAAATTTTAAGAGAGTCTTCTTTAGGGACTTGTCTATGTCCGGCACTACGGCCATTCCCAAATTTTCATTTTTACAATTTTAAAATATCGAGGAATCTTCAAAAATGTGGTACATAAAGATTTTTTTCTTTAGACAGTCACCATTTTGTAAAAAAATATTTCTAAAACTTTTCTGTAGTTCCGGACATAGCGACATAATTGTAGATAGATAATCTTTCTTATTTTTTGATTTCAGATTGATAGGAGAGTTAAAATCGTGGGTATGGTCACGCACCAAATTTTTGAGACGCCCTACTCCATCAGCTGATAACTAACGGAATTTTGAATTTTCTTTAACCTTTTCATTTCTTTTGTATTCTTCTAACGTGAAGAAATAATGTATAAAGAAATCGATTAAAAAAATTTTGATTTCTTTTTTTACAGCCCTTCAAAAATTACCTAAAATCCATGTCTCTAGACCAGAATACCCCATCAAAGGACATTTGAGATTTGCAAGTGTTACGATAGTTACACATTGACCTGAAATTATAAGATTAGCATTCATTGGAATTGTGAATATTCTCCCCCTTATTTCGTAGTTTCTAGCAAAATTCGACTCAAAAATAAATTCGGGCTGGAATATGTATATACAGACATATATTTCCGATTGACATAATATGAGAGTACCAGCAAGTTCAAACTAATGCATAACGGGAAACTCTCATTTCGTTCAAGTTGCACAATCAAAAATTTTAATTCGCATTTAATCAATTAATTTCATGTTCATATTTATGAATACATAGACTTGATAAAATGTATTTCAATTTCGTTTTGTCAAGTACCTAATCTGTTAGGTTCAAATTCGTTCATAGATGCAGTTGACTCATTTTAATTGGGCAACAAATGCCCATCTGTAATTGGTTCATTTAAGTTCACAAATCCACTTTGTATGAAGCTTCGGAACACTATTTAAGTATCAGAATGTAAACACACCCATCATAATCTCTGCTGCTTGGTGGTCGCAAGTCGAAAATGAACAGTTCGTGAAAACAGCCCATTTTTCTTTATTTGATCTTGACTTACCGTCAAACTCTAATATTAAAATTTCGATTTTTATAGGCAATATGACTTCACTTACGAGTATGTGCTTGGACGTCATTGTAAACGATTTTACATCACTGATAGTCATTCATCAGGACCCTGATACGAAATATTTTAGCTATTCCTGGCAAAATTTTCCTTCAAACATTCGGATTCCACCCCAACTGGCAAAGGAGTTAATTAAAAGATTGAAAATTTGTGGCAAATTTAGTCCAAGTCTGTTTACAACGGACTATACAATGCTGAGCTCCTTTGAACTTAACAATCTTCGGTTCGATTACCATTGGTGCTCTCCTGAGTCTCTGAAAAGTCTTCAAATGAGGAGTTTAAATATTGCTCATGCAAGCCGAATTACATTTAAGAAAATCGTCTCTAACTTGAATAGTGAAACTCGTGAGAACCTTACTAGTCTGAACATAACTGGTATGAGAAAAGTGGATGCTTCGGGTTTTTTCCATCTGAGAAACTTGAGCAGTTTGGATATTAGCTACACAAGGGCTACTGCGGAAGATCTGCAATTTATAGTCACAGCATGTTCACATCTGAAATACCTCGATATTTCAGTCACCCCTATTGAAGATATAAGTTGTCTCCTTTCACTGAAAGACCAACTAGAGGGTCTCTTCATGCATTTCCAAATACTGCCAAAGGGTCGAGTGTTGAAAAAGATGATATCGATAATCGTGCAGCTGGTGGAACTTCGGAGACTTGAATTTTCGTGTACCGAGAGACAAAACCGTCCTTTTCCACCTTTGACGCATTTTTGCTCAAGTAATGCTCTAATCCATCTGGAGCATTTCGATATTAGTGGCAATCCACTTTCCTTTCCTCCGATTACAATTAGGTGCGTTTATTCAAAACTTTTTGTTTCATTTATTTGTGTTATTATTTATTATTGTATAGTATATAGAACACATCATGCAGCAGACATAGCCTTAAGTGCTAGAATTCATTAACTTCGATTTCTTATCAAGCACCAGTCTATCTCAATTATATTGATTAAATTAGAGATCATTTGAATGGAAACACAGACATCAAAGGTTAATTTCCTGTCATTTAAAGGTGTAGCGGATTGCTACCTTAGTAAAGCCTGACCAACTCAGAAATCTCTATGGCAAATTCTCCAACATCTAGCTAGACTCCCAGAACCAGGTAAGCTATGGCCCAGCTATAATGGAAACAGACGTGTAGCACGGAGTACGTTTATTCAGTGGGTATATTACGGATAGTGTCACGCAGGAAGCATAATCATGATCAGGATGGCGGATTAGTCTAAACAAGCAGAGGTTAATGATTTGTCACTGTTTGTATGGTCGCGCCTCCCAATTTTGGCGTGCAGGCATGCGATGACGTGTCCCACAAAGGTCAGCTTTGAACGAACAGATGAATGCGATTTTCAAAGCAAGGATTGATCACCAGTGTATTTTTAATATAATTTCATAATCCAAGTCGAAGTCATTTCCTTTGAAAGAAGGTTTTTTTAAATAAAGCACCAAACTTCAAAGATATTATTACAAGTTAGAGGTTTTCTTCTGAATGTCAAGATGCCGGGTGCTTTCAAGTTAAGAAATATACGTATAGAGACTATCGCATAACTCCTCTACCCTTACTGCATTTAACAGTGCTAATACTCTATCAGGTCACCTTCTTAGGATTTAAATTGATTCATTGGAAAAGGTGGAAACAACATTATGGGGGAGGGGAGGGGGGTATGTGGTGCCCAACTATATGGAACACCTCAGATGAGTAAGCATTTTACTAATTTTCAAACCTTGCTTGCCACACAATCACCAAATAAGGAAGAGAAGACAATAGGTGCGTGCACTTGGAGTGATAGCCCTTAGGCGCAATGGGCATGCCACCAGAGTGGAGATCATCGGTTTGTCAGCGGAAATATAGGTCATCATCCTAATAATCAAACAGTTAGTCATATAAATCAAAAGAAAATTAAGAAATAAGGCGGTATGTTGAGAGTGAAAAACAAATACGAGTAATCTCTAGAGCGATAAAAGTCCCTTCTTGCCCATTACTTAACAAGATTAGAAAATTTCCCAATTACGAACTAATTAAGTATATATAAATATATCTATATACAAACTCAGAGTTCTTAAATTTCACTTCACTTTAAAGGCACTTTATCGAGAATCACCCGAAGGTTGAATTTCTCGGGCTGGCGTTTTGGCCGAGCTTTGATGATGCTCAGGAAATTTATGAGATTGTTTCGCAACATCCGCACATAGTGGTGAGTTCAAATTTGCCTAAAGCCAAATTTATCTTTGAAATTTTATCGCAAACTTTATCAATTTGTGTTTCGATGTTGAATTTTGTATTATATGAATATTAGTTCTTTTGATTTCATTTAGTCAAACTAACTTGTTGAATTAATGATCAATTTCAAGTCACGATTTATGCATCGTTATATGACGATACATTAAGTCGAGGCCAAAAAGTTAAGACGAATCCAGAACTCTGTGTGATGTCCAACATCCAGGCTCTTGATAGCAAACATTTTGTCTGGTTTCACCCTCAGTTATCGCAGAGAAGACGTACCCTGAAGCATTCAGGATACACACTGCTAAGCCTTGAGTTCGAAAACAATAAACACACCTCAGTGGTTTTGCAGCAATGTTAGAAAGATACCCAACAGCGATTATATCTGTTTAATCGTCCAGTGGCTTTCTCAACAAGCTGCTGCTGGTAAGTAAGTGTTATTTCAATGATTGAGTTGAATTGATGTAGTCATGTTCCCTATTACCCTAGACAAATTGAATTTATACTGAAGAAATTTCATTGGTTTTGAAGTATTTTGGGCTTTATTATTGTTGTTTTATTGCTGTAGTTGTTAAGCTCCTGAATATGAGCCAAGTCGAAGCAGTAGAAGAAAAGAATACTATTCTATTCAATTAGGTGTATGATATCAGCACTCAAACTTAGCAGATCTCTCTGAAATGCCAAGAGAAATTTTAGGCTCATCTACTACTATGGCCATTATTTTCGTCCACTTTCCAAGTAATCTTAATAAGGAAGATGTGCTCAGCTATTTGCTTTTAATCTCACAACTTCTCTTTTCATTTTCTCTCATCACTTCACTATTGTATTTCAGGTATCCGGCGATACCTCTGAGGAGTTATTGGTAGAAAAATTGAGGCGCTACGGGAAACGGCTCGAATTATGTGATTATATGCTAAGGGGTTTCAGTTTCGAGTCGCATCATCGAGAAATAGTGAGTCCGTCAATTCTCAAAGTAAGTCACTCAAGTGAATTGTGATAACTTAACTTCAAAATATGACTAGTAACTATGTTGCTAGTATCTGGTTGTCTTTCGCACTACAACTTCTTCAATAGGCAAATAGAAAGTGAAAAAGTTTATCATCCGAAGACCATGGGGACTAAAAATATCTCGCGCAAGAGTGAGGAAATTATCTTGGAGCTTGATGGATGCCTTGGTAGTTGAGGCAGAGCGTAGGTGCGCTTGAGGACTTAAAGATGAGGGAATATCTGAGAGAGCATAGTAATTGATGCACAATGAGACACAAGGAATGTTGTCTTGAATTGGTTGGGAATTTAAGACAAACTAGTAGAATCAGACTGTTTACAGATGGCCCACAAAACAGTTAAAATTAATTCGGTGCGTCGGCAAAAACGAGTTGATTTAAACAGTTCATTATGAGGTGATCAAATAAATCTTATAATGTGGTCAGGCGGACCCATAGAGAGAAAAAATTGAAAATATATGGCAATTAGCGAAAAATGCTTAACGCCGGAAAAAATTCATCAAAGAATAGTTTTCCTTGCCATCTTCTTGTTTTTTAGGCCGTTCTAAATATAGGGGAGGTGATCCCTAATGATCCTATCTTGAACGATCGTCTCCACGAGGCTGTAACTTACATAATGGAAAATTTGAATGTGGATGATTTAACGTTTGAACTTTGCCAACAAGTAATGCAATATACGCTGAGTTATATCCTTCGATTTGAAAGTGGTTATCAGCTTCTACGCTTGCTGATTAATAAATTTGGGATAGTGAGTGGATGTTGCGTAAAATTGAGTATCTAATTCGAATCAGTTTCAGAAAACATTTTCTGTGTTTTTAGATCCCAGATGGAACCTACTTAAATATTCAATCCAAATGTTTCTACATGTTATTCTTGATGAGATACATCGATGAAATGGGTGGGCATGAAGTGGATGTCGACATATTTCACCCCATGGAAATGCTCTCAGCTCCAACTGGACAAATTCGAGAAAATCCCGATGTCATTTGGTCACTGTATAAGAGTCTTAAGGGAAGCGAAGTTGCTCGCATAACATTCCAGGCTATAGATGGTTTGGGAACATTAGGAGGTGTTGAGCGAGTAAGTTTGTCTCATTTACATAAGTACTAATTTTCACTTATAATAGCATTAATTAGTCTAATGGAATTTGTTAATTGGTGCCTTGAGTGAGATTTCAATAATAAACTTAAAGTATGTAATAATATGAGTATAAGAGTTTCAAAACATGATGAATGGGGGAGCTAGTTAATAGATGGGGCTAAGAATAGGATGGAGTGAACCATTAAGTTAAAAATCTGAGGCGAAACGATAAATGGAGCCATAATAGTAACAGTCCTTCAGTGCACACTCAGAGGTAGCGGAATGACTAAGTTGTGGTCGAGTTCATTACTATTTGGTAAAAAACAAATAAAAATCAAAGTAAATAAACAATAAGCCATTATATCATCAAGTTTCGGCAGAAAATATATTAGGGAAGAAGAGAACCATGCAGCTGGTGACCTCAAGACCCACGTGTTAACAAATCGGCCAAGTGGTTAATCGTCCACACAACCATAATAAGAAGACAGTGAAACAATAGGTAAAATCGAGCATTGAACGGAATACGCAGTTGAAGAACAAATAAACGCAAATAGGCAAAGTATTAATTTGATCTAAACCATGCTTTTTAATGACGCTCTACTTAAGTATAGTGTGCTAGAACATCATCCAATGTTGATTGAAATATATTAATTGAATATTTCTTAAAACGAAATATTTTCAGATCTGTAATTTTAACACTGATCCTACGCAACTGGCACAATTCTCAGAGCCAATTTTACGAATTCTGGTGAGTTTTTAAATAAAATTTTTATATTGGTATACTTAGTTATTGACTATTAATGCCAAATATTTATATTATTATATTATTATATTTTAGGATCTTTTATGGACAGAGAAGGACATTAGAAGATTCCTGTTGAAATCAGAATGGATGAATTACCTTTGGTGAGTGTACTTCCAACAAATATTAAATATCGTTAGTAATAAGTATCTTCGAGATGATAAGTGAGGAAATGAAAGTTTCCGATTCCAAGAACAAAATCTAAGAACACCTTAATCCCACTAATTACTAGATGATTGGTTTTATTTGATTGGTAGTAGGATGTAGTGTCGATTTTTACTAATTTTCCACCCACCCACACACACACACGCGCATATACAAAGATGTAAAATTGCAGTTGATATATTGTATTTTCAACTTTTAGCCTAATTCTCCATGGTCCATCTTTTAAAAGAAGCTACATGGCATCAAGGATTATCCGCAACCTTATTTCTTTTGCTGCGGATGACTGGAACTCCACATTTTATTTCCACAAGAACGATATCCTCGAGGCATTTGTGAGTCAACTCAAACTTACCATCTCATTTGTTATCTTTAATACGATCGTATGCGATTTAGGGTTAACACTTTGCTATAGAAAAATAGACAAGTGGCAGACCTTTGTGTGAAGTGGTTAATCTTTCATCACAAACACAAAACTCTAAAATAAATTGACTTTAGTTTCCATAACGGTAGAAACTGGTCTCAATGCAACAGGCTTGGGAAAGTTGAAATGTGATAGTTTTGTTGGCTGTTGACTTAGACCATCAATCTAGAAAAATAACGCTGATAGAATTCGAAAATGTACAGCTACTACTTTGATCTTTTCCGTTTACGCAAGGTACTTCTTTCTTTGCCACCAACAAAAAATTAAAATATATTCCTCAATAAAAATATAAAATAAGGTATCACGTTTGATTAATAGGAAAATTCTATCTACTTTTGACCAATGAATACACATATTGAATCAAAATTAAGAGTGACATTGACATTTTCGTTTTAGGGGAAAGCGATTTGCCAATGGGAACCTCCATTCGATTTATCGCATGAAGAAATGCCCCCATTGGGTCGCTTGGAATATATCCTCGCTAAACGAACATCTCGCCTGGAAGTGAAACTGTGGGCACTCTGGTCCATTCGTCATTTATACGCTAGTGGTATGGTTTCCTACTAGCTTCGAATTCTTGTCTCAATTTGTAACTTCCAGTTTTACTTTGATCCTTAAATTACAAGTGTGAATTAGTTATCATGAATAGTTCATGAAGCGAATGTGGAATTTTCAGGTCAGATCAAGAGGTCAGGGAATCAGAGTGAAGCCACTATATTTAGACACTCTGCACCCCTGATTTTCAAGTAATCGATAATTTATTGAATGGCTAATAATCCTTTCCAATTTTCATGAAAAAACTTCTAGTTCCTCAAATCTTAATAGCTCCGCTCCAGGGCAAATGCGAAAGCGCTTGACTTTCCAAAGACAAAGACCATCACTTTTATTATTGAATTGCCCAAACAGTTTTTTCGAGGTTAGTTGATAATATGTCATCTTTATCGGTAAACGATGGAGGGTTGGAAATGTCCAATGGGAACTATTGTCAGTACTTTGAAGCAATCATTTGCTCATAATAGGAATGGACATTTATTCATTTAAATGACAATCAAGACGATTTCCAACAGAACGCGAATTTTACATCAAAGTGGCTACTTATTTGAAGACCAAAAATTAATTAATCCTTTTTAATTAATTCTTTTCAGATCAATATTATAAAGGGATTCTCAAAAGCCACACGTTTTTACAGCGCCTTCTGCATGAAATTTCATTTTCAACTCCGGATCAATTGGTCTACCATCCAAAGCCAACACGTATGGAACCAGTAATAGATAAGGCGTAGGCATTTTTTCTTTAATATGATGTCTTTTTTGTGCAAAAATTCGGATTGTATAAACGAGTTTTAATTTTAGGCTTGGAAGATATCTTACAATGACCTTCGCAGAGGTAAGAACTAGACATCAAACGTAAAGCACGCAGTTTTGAGTAGGAGTGCTTACATAAGATAGGTTGTAACAAGCAGAGTATTTTATATTGCCCAAGAAAGAGTCATCTCTTTTGACAAAAATGAAACGCAAAGCTTCTTGAAAGCAAGTTTCATTATTCCGGGGTTTTCCGATTGCCCGACCATCTGAAAAAGCGCCCTCCGACCCCCTCCCCTTCCCACGGGCGGTTATTCGGGTGATCAAAAGTTAAAAGGCAGTCTCACAGCTTTTTCACTACTCGTGATTGAATACGCATTGTGCACTCACTAGACACACACGAAAGTTGATATAATTTTTTGCTTTCACTCAATAAAACTAATTAAACAGGAAATACTTGTCACATTAAAGGAGTGAACGATATCCACTGCACTGAAGTCACTAAATCTCAAGGGAGTTCGTGTGATAGGGCGTTGAGATCTCTAATATCTCATCACACTGTTAATTATCATCAAATTGCAGAAAACTGTGTATCCTTGAATAGAAGCAATTTACATGATTGTGTGGTGATGTCGCAACTATATTCTACCATATACCTTGGTGTAAACTGATGTTTGCTCATCAATTGTCTCCTTTCTGTTACCAAAGACGCATTATTTTATATTTCAGGGATTAGTTAGCAAAACCCAAGGTGTCACTGCTATTCTGAGAGGACTTCGCTATCAGGCTCGAATTCCCGTCAAAAGTAGTGATTGCGATAACCTGGGTGTAAATGAGGTAAGAATTTATTTTATTTACTAGCATGTTATAGATCAAATTACACTGCGCTTTTTTCATTTTCCCAATAAAAGTTAATTAGGCAGAGGTAAGTATTCAATGGGGAGATTAAATCAAGACTTCAAAGTAGAGGTGGCCCCGGAATGTCATTTCTTTGTCCAGACTGAACTCTAGAAATCACTTTCAAACGGTAAAATGGTCACTTCTTTGTTATGTAATAACCCAAAGTGAATCAAAATGTCACAGTTTTTCAATGCGTCTGCTTATGGTCAAACTAAAGAAAGATGAAAGCGGTGGGGTTTGAAAGTTGTTAATTGTAGCTCAGAGGCATGAAGCAGTTTCACCTCAATTGTACTTAATGGGCAATTCATGCTCCACAACTAAAACTGCCTGGTTTGTGACCTTGAGAAGTGGCCAAACTCTTACCCTGATAACCAATGTTTATTGACTAGGTCACCTTTTTCATGATGCCCAAGGTCATAACTTTGATACCGTGATTACGAAAGCCGAATTGCAGCCTTATTTAATATTTCGTGGCTTGTAAAAATTCAATAAACCAGGTTCATTGAAATGGACTCCATGTTTGTCAATATTCAGCTAATGACAATGCGCTATCGTGCTGAAGCCTTTAAGACTCTTCAATATCCACGTCTATTGACAGTTAAAATCGCTTGGTATTCGACACGTTAATGCCGATTATCTCTAGGCTTGTTTACGTGCATTTTGTCAGCTACTTCATTGATTAAATCCTTCTGATAATTACTGACTCTAGATTTATTATCTAAAAATGCTCATATACCCAGAGTGATGAATTATATGGCCCGGACTATCTTTTCAATATTTCCAAATGATCCGACGATGAAGGAATGGAGGAAAACTAATCCATTGAATAGTTTACTTATTACTGAAGGAAGCAAATTTATTATTATCTCAAATGATGGGAAATTGATTTACTAGGTGGTTAATTATAATTACTTCAATGATGTGAATATAGAAAGTTAATTAGGGTCGTATGTAGTTTGAGTGATGAAGTCTTTTATTTATTTCAGAATCCCCCATCTTTGGAAGCCTACATGCAAGCACAGAGGAAATTCGCCCTGAGGTTGAAGAAACTTGCGGTTGAATTAAATGAGTCGTTCTAATGACCATTTGTATTTCTCCTTTAAAGAGAGCGATGTATATTTCTTGTTTAATAAAACGGTTTTGTATTTGCTATTGGTTTAGAAATAAAAAGAGTGGAAGGGACTTACATTGAATTGAATGCCGATATTGACCACATGAGTTCAAATTTTACCCTCCCAGTCGCACTCTGCTTTAATATGACCCTAGGTAACCGAAATCAATGTTCCAAGATTCTATTTTAATAGACAGTGAATGCGATTGAAGTTGCATAAAATTTCACTTTCTTTCACTTAGTTTCTCGCATATTTTAGTTTTGGTTGATGTTTCCTATTGGTGTTTCATTTGACCTTCCTGATAGCATGGCAATAAGGCAACATTTTTGATAAGTCAAAAATCACATGCGTTTTGAAAATACGATACAATTTATTACATACCGAACAAGACCAGCAGCTTATATAGCGTAATATTCATTAATATCAAAGCACAGGCTGAAGGATTGCTGCCATTAGTCCCATAGTTGACTTCAAGCTTCACAAAGGGGAGGAAAAGACAGTCAGCAAAAGTTGAGAGGGGCAATAGAAGAGTGATTCAGAGATGCAGAAGAGCCAGACAAACACTAAGGTAGGGAAAAAGTGAAGTGAGTACTGTGGAAGTGGTCAAATATAGCATACAGTGGGGTCATGGTGGTTAGAAGTCAGAAGTCAACTGACTGTTTATGAACATTTTTCCGTATGAGTATACGTAGTTCAGGGTGCACCACGTGGAGGTTAGCTATAGCATACCCCATATGGAATAATACAACCATCTCAATTCAGTTGAAGGATAAGCTGTGGGGTTTCCCACTACCCTCTATCAATACTAATCTGATATGAAAAAAATCAAGCTAAAAGTAGAGAGAACTCATTGATCTTAGAGGAACTTCATTGTTAATGATTAATAAATCGCTGATCTGACAATAAAAGACGGCTTGGAAATGACAGATTAATGAAACAAGAGAATTTGATGTACCGTGGAGTTGCTCATTCTTTCATTGATGAATAAAGTTCTCACAAGACTAAACATTAGCCTGTATTTGCCAGCTCGAATGAGAAGATAGCCACGGGTAAATTGTAGCGCAAACTTAACGAAAAGCAACTAAGATAAAGATAGGTTAGCTGTATCTCACTCATAAATAGAAAGAAATAATAACTACTAAATTGGCCTAAGTACAATTCTGACTACAGAATGCTATAAGATAAAAAGCGTAGATCAAATGTTAGGATATTAGAAGATGTACTGACTTCAAAAGTATATAATTTATGTAGATTCTTAAGCCCAGTGCGGCATTTAGACCCAGAGGGAAATGATACCATGACAATTCGGCATGCAGCCCATGATTAACACTGAAACTGATGTAAAAAGAGGTTGCGTCAATTGACGTCTATATTCAGATAAGCCCAGTTCAAGATTGAGCTGAACCCAATAGTCAGATTGCAAGGTCGATTACTCTACACTGCATTAATTCCACCTCAAGGAATATATTTTTTAAAATAATTTGACATATTTTTTCTCAATTTTGCTACTATTGAAAAACTGGAAGGTATTAATGCTATGTTGACCCAATTTCTAGCAAATTGTTCAAGCATCTCGAAAGAATTCTACGCTCCATTCTGTTCCATGTCTTCAAAAGTCAACTTCAAGAATAAGCCTTAAAATCTCAATTTACCTGTCACCCTATAAACGTGACATCTTAACTTATTTAAATAGTTTATACGTCTGCGAAACTCGACTTGGTTTTAGTGTCGGTCTATGCAAATAACAGGAGAAGGCTTCCCTGCTTGATTCATTAGCGTAATTTTCTCTTGCAATAGAAGCTCTCTCAGTGCTTGAATCGCAACAGAATTAATTTATAATCAGTTCAAATGGCAACCTTTATGATATTTATCATTAGTCCTTGAACTTTGATTTCTCCTTCTCCAAGGGTGGAAAGGAGGGGGGGTATTTATATGGCAATTAATTCATAGCAGTTCATTAGCTGTCTTCTTGCTTCCCAGAATCTCTGTGTTACCGTCGTTATCTTTAGGGCTGGACACCGAATCAGGTGGATCTTCTTCATTTCCTCCTGTAGGTTACATTGGGGGCATGTGGGTTGAGTGTATACTCCCAATCTGTGAAGGGGCATGTGGGTTGAGTGTATACTCCCAATCTGTGAAGGTCCATGTGGGTTGAGTGTATACTCCCAATCTGTGAAGGTGTACATGTGAGTTGAGTGTATACTCCCAATCTGTGAAGGTGTTTTGATAGGCAATCGTGTTCGGTACGTAGTCT